CTAACATAGTCAACTTCGGAAAATCATGTTATATTCTGTTATGTTAGGTAAACCAGTTAATATATGTTAATACCGAATTGAACCCAAGTAGATATTCTGAAACACAGTGGCATGTAATGCGTTGTAAACTAAAAATATACTTACATACAAACTGTAGTAGAATTGACCCATAAATGGAAAACCGACAGGAGGTTTTATAGTCGGCGATATCAAATCATACAGGTTTTGTGCTGTATCACGAGTAATTCGTCCATCTGCTGTAGAGTCTGTTACTGCCTTATGGTACGTTAGTCGTAACTTGTTATCTTCAACCTCAATACCAAACGGGAACAGTATTATCTCTGAAATATGTTTATGTTGTTGAATTAAACAAAATACTGCCTCAGACATTCTGACAGACATTCAGACATTCAGACAGAAAGAAAGACGGAAGACAGAAAGAAAGAAAGACGGAAGACAGAAAGAAAGAACAAAAGGAGTATTTACCATAGCAGTTGAAACCATTTCCTCTATGTCCATCGATGCATGTACACGTATAATTTCCTTGAGTGTTTTGGCAGATGGCATTATCATCACATTCATCCGTCTCTTCATAACATTCATCAATATCTAATAAGTAGGAAAATAATTTATAATTGAAAAATAATTGTAGCCTAATGGATGTCATAATCTGTGAGAAATATTAAATGTGATTGAAACAATAAAATATTACAAATAGTAATTGTAGACAGCACAACCTGAAACCATCATCGTTTAATTGTGAATGCTGAATTTTACTGTACTCTGTCAGTAAAAAGACTGATCCAACTTATCAATTGCATTTTTAAAACAGTGACATTTATAGCTCATCCTATTATTTTGTAAAACACTTGTTTGTATGTGTGTATTAACTTGTCTATTAATTGAAAATGTTTATTGCGTTACATCTGAATTATGTGTCTGGTGTTTTTATGTTTCATCTCCGTATAAGATCAGTTCAGTATTTACAATTTATTCATGTCAGTGTTGAAGATATGATATGGAGTTCAGGTTTTATATGATGTGTTTGACAATACTGACTCTACTTCCTCTACGTGAATAGTAACACATGAATCCCCGTGATTACATGAGCGTTTATATAAAATTGGTATGAATGTTACAGTCTATTAGTCGACTTAAACATTTCTTAATATATACATTCCAAGGATTATATATTTGTAACAGTGTTTTAATGTGCAGAGAATTGTTTGAACTGCAATACTATACCTGTTTCACAGTTCGTACCAGTCCATCCAATTAAGCATATACACGAATATTGATTGATTTCATCAATACACTCTCCATTTTCACAGGGATTTGATGCACATTCATTTATTTCTGTAGCAGCAATAACATGAAGATAATGGTCATGACGTAGTCGATTTTACTTACGGAAGTTACGCACATTACAATTTCAGAGAAATATTTGTATTTGTCGGCTAGAATCTGAGTAGAATGATTACATTTATAAATTTAACTAATTATTAATTTAACTACATAGATAATTATACATATGATACCAAGAAACTTTTTTGTGACATTTATGCTTTGATGATTACTTGTTAAGACCTTGAGTTCATTTATTACTTGACAGCGAATATTAACCAGATTTGTGGTGATCAGTGAATGGCGCCAAAGTTTGTTAATGTCTCAGGTATATGTGGATTTCTGCGTCGTTTAATACCAGCAACAACAGAACTGAACACTAACTCACGAAACGCGAGTGATGCTTTGAAGGAGCTGATAAAACGATTAGTTTGTGGTAAGTTGTACATAAAATACAATATTGTTCATGAAGAAGATGTCTTAGAAGACTTATATCCAACAGTGTTTATGAACTTGCATTCGACTGACGTTAGTCTTTGACCCAGAGGTCGACACCCTAACTTGACCTGATATGACCTTGACCTCTGACCCCTGAATACAGTGGAAGTACTTTTTGTCGTCTGTTTCAATTGGTGGGTGCCTGCAGTGGCTAGCTGAACTATATATAGTAACTATAATAACAGTATATCTGGCCATTGTTGACTTTTACTATATTATTGATGGCCATCCAGTGAATATTTTCTCAAGGTGTGTTACTTTACATGTTAAGTGTGATCTCTACTACTGAACAAATTATTTACCCTGAATACAAAGATGTATTATGCGTACCAGTACCCCAATGTTTGGTCATTGATGGGTCGTTTTGTTAATAATTTGGTGGCCCCAGTTGATTTTTTTCTGTGAACCCGAGAAACACGACTTTGCCTGTTGCCATTTATCTTAATTGGGCCTCTTGTATGGAAGTTTTAGTTACAGATAGTCCGATTTAAGTATTTCCTATACAATGTATAGACAATGGATATACTCTGATACTTTTACCAAAGTAAACATAAAGTTGACCCGGTCATCTTTCAAATCACGTACTACCAATTCTACTTTTTTCAGGCTATTAAATATACTGTGAAATAAACCCCCAACAAGATCGAGACTTACCATTACAGTTGTGCCCGTCATCAATAAGTGCGTACCCGTCTATGCAGCTACATGTAAATCCTCGGTCATCAGTAGTTCTCAATACATTATGACATGTATGTTGACAGTTTGATAACATGATTAAACATTCATCTATATCTGTACATACGTATATAATCAGACGAAACAATAGTTATATGATTGATTGATTCAAATATAAATGATCTGTGAATTGTAATATTGATGAAAACGCAGCTTTTGTTTTTAACTAAAAAGTCCATGTATTTGCTATGCAATTAATTTTTGTGAAATCAATAATATATACACAGCTTCCACTTGTTTGAGCTGGGCAATACGAATATTTTAGATGGATGTACCCAAACCAAGTTCTACGTAAATATATTCAGATGTACATACCCTCCTGACAATGTGTACCAGTCCAACCACGATCACAGTTACATATATAACCATTGACTTGTTCAATGCATGTACCATCATTTTGACAAGGCATACTTTTACACTCAAGCACATCTAATGATATTGATAATATTCATTTTAAATTTTCAGGCAAGCAGAACAAATAATAGTAATTCTCCAACAAATCACATTCGCTAACATATATAATGGGTTCTATTTTTACACAGACCCGACCCCATTACTGTCAATCACTGCTATATGCTATATACGTCACTTCTGGTAACTTACATAGTTATTTTTAATTTGGCAAGTAACAGAAGGAACGTCAGAATTACAGGATGAAGCCTACAGCGGTAGATGATCGAAATCACAAGAGTGTCATCAATCGCATTTAACTAAATAATAATAGGCAGCGACTTAATTACTGACAAGATGCGGTTATATTATGGAGCCAAGTTTGTCCTCTCCAACATTTTCAATTTAAAGTAGCTTGGTGAACAATATAGTAAATTTACCTTCATCACATGTTATTCCTGTAAACCCGTCGAGGCAATGACAAGTGTAAGTTTCAATACCATCAGTGCAGTTGCCATGGACACATGGTGATTGTTGACACCAATCAATATCTGTTGTAAATCAAATCAAATCAAATCAAATCAATATATTACATATTAATTAATATTGAAACGATGCAAACGTACATTGGCTGGAAGATTTACAATGATACCCAAGTACACAGCTGAGGGTAAATACAAAAATGTATGTAAAGTTTGAAGTAGACAATTTCAGGTTAACGCATAAATTTAAGGTATTTTATCAAATTACAATCAAGGCACGCTAACGACATCGAGTATCCAAGATTGTTGTAGTAAATGTATTCTCAATTCCCTAGTTTTTTCAAGATTATTTTAACTCGTTTAGACAACAAATGGTTATTGGTGGAATGTTGGAAGAACATCTTCAGCTTGAAATATTAATGAAATGAAATAAAGCTTGTCTATTAACATCATTGAATAATATCAACTACACGAACTCTAAAAAACCATTAGTATAAACAAATATATTCTGACATGAAGTGTCAATCGTATAATTTCAAAGGGTGTAATCAATATTTGGTTTTCAAAATATATGTTGCAATATTTGGGAGCATTGAACGAGCTTTAATTTGAAGCCCTTTTTTGATACTCAGTATTGAGATATATAACTAACATATTTACAAGTTAGAATTAGACATACTGTTAGTGCTAAGGCTCAGTTATATCATTAAAGATATTAAAATACCTATTTACCCTGTACTTACAATTTTGTCACAATTTTTACATTTACAAGCAGATATATATGCTAATTACAGTACTTTGTATGAATCGATCCATTCCGTGAACGGCTACTAAACTACTCACTTAAAATAAGCGTCATACAATTACGTAGAACATTTTTGCAATACACTGACACGATGACTCATTAATACATTTAACATACAATTCATACAATTTTGTTCGAAAATCATATATCTTACCTTCTTCACAAGAAACTCCTTCATAGCCTTTACTACAAGTACAGTAAAAACTACCTTCTGTGTTCGTGCATATTCCGTGGTTATTACAGTTTTCATAGTAACACTCATTAATATCTTAAATAAATCATTACAAATTTAGCATTATATAACTTTGTTGAAAGTAATTTTAAAAAGAAATAATTACTGTACCATAATATATCCATCCTAAATCGAATTTAACAATGCAATATTACATTTAATTAGTACACTACAAATAGTAAAACAGTTAGGTAATATTTTAAAATGTTTTGTATGTATATTTACCAACACAAGTTCTTCCATCAGATGCGAGCATATAACCATTAGGACATAAACAGATGTATGATCCTTGTAAATTCCGACATCCGTCTTTATACGAGCATCCATTCGTGGATTCATCAGAACATTCGTTTATATCTAGTATAAAATATAATGACACATTGAAGTTATATATTACAAAAAATCTCAAAACCTAATATTAACCAGTATGCCAATATACGTTAAAAAGACAATTTAAGATCTACCTAATCGCATCAACATGTTCGAATGACTCGGTTGGGAGGGGGTGGGGATGGGGTAATAATAATATTAACATATATTATAAGATACATGAAAATAACTTGTTCGAATATTGTGTGGCGTTCACTAACCTTGACAGAGCCAGTCAATGCTTTGGTGCAAACTGTAACCACTGTTGCAGTTGCATTTAGGTTGGTACGAGTCATCTAGTACGCAGAATCCTTTAAAACACTGTTTGAAACAAGCTGGATGACCTACAAACGAAAGGTGTGTGATTAATATATTATCTAGAAGTTTCATATGTGCGTAGTATAATATTCTTTATATACTTACCTATGATGGTGACAGTGAAGGAACAAGACGCAGTGTTGGAGCTTGGGTCTTCAAACATGTATGTAACAATCGTTTGTCCAACATGAAAGTTGCTTGGCGAGATGTGTGAGGCAGATTTCTGAGTAGCAGTACCGGAATTATCAGTGGCAGAAGCAGGATTCCATGTAACACCTTCTGCACTAAGTGCGCCAATATCTGCATCCCTTGTTATATGAGCAGGACAAGTTACAACTGGAGGTTCATTATCTATGGAAATAACACAGTCAAATCATACATCATTGCACAAAAGTAGTACAAGAAAATTTACCAGTGCAAGACCATAAAACAAATGACTGTAGGCAGTTGAAAAAATAATTCATAATAACAAAACAAAACTGAACTAAAGTACATCGAATTAGTAACAACAGATATTGAACTTATTTTAAATCATCGTTAGTCGTTCTTTACAAATCACCCGATTTAACAGTTTGAATAGAAGATTTGCAATGAATGCTATTAAAAACCCTTAAGAAACGTCTTGCCTCAATGTTTACGTTTGTGTTTGCCTTATTGGTTGTATATGACCTAATAGTACAAAGTAGCGTCAGTATAGCCTCCATAATATAATTTATTTGTATGCCTATCATTCCGCTAATCCTCATTTAGAACATTTAGAATTTAGAGAATTGTGTTATTTGGCATGGAATGTTGTATATTATATTCTGATAATAATGGCTGAAATAGCTAATATCATAAAAATATTCAAAGTACATATTCACCAATGATGGTTACTGTAAAATAACATAGTCCTGCGTTATTGCTAGGGTCTACAAAACTATAGGTAACAATTGTACTTCCAATTGCAAAACTGCTTCCTGGTAATATAGAAACGGATGACTGAGTGGTTGATCCTGAATTATCACTTGCTGTGGCAGGATTCCATGTCACATTTGCAACAGCTGATCCCGTGGCGACATTCTGTGATATGTTATTTGGACAAATGACGATTGGTTTTTCAGTATCTGTAGATTGAAATTTCAAATTACATCGTGAGTTCCATAAATACATCTATAATTGGAACAAATACTTCATTGGGAAGTGACAAATTCATGTCAGCAAATCTCCTTCAGGCTTATTCGGAAAATCAATGCAGCAAGCAATGCAATAACTATACTAAGGACGAATTGGGAATGAGAAACTCAAGGACGTTTTAGAACATTCATAACGTGGGGGAAAATGCAAACTCGATGATCTATACCAAATACGAATTAGGGATGTGAAACCCAAGGACGTTTTAGAACATTCATAACGTGGGGGAAAATGCAAACTCGATGATCTATACCAAGTACGAACAAGTCATGAATGACACAG